GAGGAGAATGGAGGAGAAGGGATTGCGGCGTGACCATCCCCCCTGGGGGGTGATTTCTCGCTTTCTGTCTCTATGTCTCTCTCTGTCTGTCTGGCGAGCGCACGCGCCCTACAGTGAAAATCTCTCCAAAAAAAAAAATATATATAAAGGAGGAATCCAAGTTTCTATTTAGCCACAAAAGACAAAAGACAGAGGCCCATCTGTCTCTGCATTTTAGGTATACTTGAACAGTTTCATAATTTTAAAAATGTTATTTAAATAAGAAAAATTATTAAATAATAATTTATAAGCAGGAAGTTAAACTGACTTTTTCCCACTTATCTCAGTCCAAACTGACATCTATACCTTGCCACATTCAAAGTTTTGAACTGTAGAGATGCTCCTATATATGTGGGATATTAATAAAGTAAAGAATGCGAATTAGAAGGCAAAAATTTGAAATGTCCTGTGAAAAAGACCCCTGCCTTCTATTAGAAAGCAGCAAACCCATAACCTCCCCGAAATGTGTATATGTTGGGTCATCAGAAAAGTCATGACACATTTTGCATAGTCAAATAGATCATGACTTTTCTAATTATATATATAATTTTTTTAATGTCATGGATCAAGTTTTCTACTCTAGCTGGTGCTTAACAAAGATTTAAAACTGACCTCTCTGTTGAAAATTATATGTAACTGTTCCAATGAAAATGTAATCTCTTAAATCAATTTCCATCTCCATTAGCTAATTGCTAATCAGATTTTTATCCACATAGACACCAGGTTAATCTCTTGGCTTTCTACAATTAAAGACAGTTTTAGGAATCTGTATTTTAGGTTTTAGAGTTTCTTCTTGTTGCCATAAGTGATTTTTCCTTCATTTTGTGTATCGTTTTGTTTTATATTCTTGTTTTCTATACAGGGATGCCTCATTTTAAGTGACGAATTAAACCACACATCACTTGTGCTTGGAGCCCGACTTTCAGGTGCAACCATAAGGGTCTTCAAACACAACAGTGAGTACAAAAGTATTTATCCAACATGTACTGGCTTGCTGCTAGAAGAAAGTAAAAATTATTGATGGGTTTTTGTCCATGCTCTTTAAACCAAAAACTTAGCACAATGAGACACAATTATGTTTATATTCACTACTGCCTTGTTAACCTCTGGTGACCTGGAGCAAATGGCTGAAGTGCATTAGACATCCAGATTGCTAAGTGTAACACAAACACATTAATGTCACTGAAAGTGGTCTTGCAGTGCAGCCTCTAAAGACTTGATTGATCTCTTAGAACTGCTCTTTAATTATCAGGAGTGTTATAACTCTTACTTTTCTACAGCTCTGCCTTGGGAAAGTTGGAAGACTTATTTAAGGTTTGTGTTAGGTAAAAAGTGAGCCTATTCCTTAGTATGATGATTCCTATCCCCACCCAAAGAATACTCAGATACGCGTCCCTCCAAACCATATTCACCTTCATTGAAATACTCTTTCAGGCTCCAGTTAGTATTGTTCATTGTTGAACAGGAGGCGGAAGTCTGTTTCTTTAGAGACTTGAGGCGACTTGAGCAATGTTAGGAAGTATGTCAAAGGAGGTAGGTGATGGTGAACACCTGAGTTATCTCATCCGGCTCTGCCTCTGGCTCTTTGTGTCACTCTATGTAAATTCTTTAATCCATGCATTCAGTTTCCTCACTTGTAAATGAGGGCATTGAACTGCATAATGCATAAGGATCCTCCTAGTTGAAAAGCTGTGATTCTAATTCATGTAGTCAATGGAAATGCCCTTGCTTTCTCCCTGCATGTATATATGTGCACACACACTCACGTGTATAAACACAAACACAGTTTTCTCTCTCTTCCTTCTCACCATCTTTCTCTTCTGCTGCTGCTATTCCCCCCCACCCCCCCCACCCCCCCCCA